GGTACGAAGTGTAATAATACACTTCCCAGAGTGTATTATTTTGGTTTCCGCTGGTGACCACCGCACTCAGCCTACTGCTACGATCAATGGCCGATATCGGGCTTTTAAACTCTCTCTCTCTCTCTCTGCCTCTCTCTCTCTCTCTCTCTCTCCTCTCTCTCTCTCTCTCTCTCCGAGCTCTCTCTCTCTCTCTCTCTCTCTCTCTATCTCTCCTCTCCTCTCTCTCTCTCTCTCTCTCTCTCTCTCTCTCTCTCTCTCTCTCTCTCTCGAGCCTCTCTCTCTCTCTCTCTCTCTCTCTCTCTCTCTCTATCTCTCTCTCTCTCTCTCTCTCTCTCTCTCTCTCTCTCTCTCTCTCTCTCTCTCTCTCTCTCTCTCTCTATCTCCGCTCTCTCTCTCTCTCTCTCTCTCTCTCTCTCTCTCTCTCTCTCTCTCTCTCTCTCTCTCTCTCTCTCTCTCTCTCTCTCTCTCTCTCTCTCTCTCTCTCTCTCTCTCTCTCTCTCTCTCTCTCTCTCTCTCTCTCTCTCTCTCTCTCTCTCTCTCTATCTCTCTCTCTCTCTCTCTCTCTCTCTCTCTCTCTCTCTCTCTCTCTCTCTCTCTCTCTCTCTCTCTCCACCACTCTCTCTCTCTCTCTCTCTCTCTCTCTCTCTCTCTCTCTCTCTCTCTCTCTCTCTCTCTCTCTCTCTCTCTCTCTCTCTCTCTCTCTCTCTCTCTCTCTCTCTCTCTCTCTCTCTCTCTCTCTCTCTCTCTCTCTCTCTCTCTCTCTCTCTCTCTCTCTCTCTCTCTCTCTCTCTCTCTCTCTCTCTTATATATGTATGTATATGCAAACAAGCCTGAATGGTCCCCAGGACTATATACAACTGAAAACAACTTTTGTGTTCCTCACGTGTGCCCCAAAGAATGAGGTGATTTGATAAAATGCTATGCCCAAGATTACCATCCGAGTGCCGGCGGGGAAGTGGTTCATATAGCCTCGGCTATCACTTCCTTTTGTCCGGTCGTGATGGTCAAGCGGATTAAGGCGTCCCTGTACATACCAGTTGTGGGAGTATGGGTTCGAGTCACTTCTGGGGTGTGAGTTTTCAGATGTATGTATATGTATATATTCCACGCGACCGCCACACTCTTTCCTAGTCATATTCATTATAGGTGGCGTGTAGCGTGGGCACCGAGCCAGCGGTGATGTGGGGTCACCTGACCTCTGGGGTCACACACACACCATCTCCCTGAAGGTCAGGCCCCGTCCTGGCATCCTGCTACGCTCAAATTGATGAATACGGCTCTTTTTGGGGTCGTCGGCAGCTTAGAGCATAGTTTATGTGTGGGTTGGTTGGTTGGGCCTCGTATGTTGTGGTTGATAAAGGTAGGAGGAGTCTGCAACCCAGACACAGGGCAACAGGGTGTGGTGGCAGGTAGGGTGAGGAGAGGGTGGAAGGCACACCGGGGGTGGTGGGGGAGGAGGTGGTGTAGTAAATGGTTGCTCTCTTAGCCTGGCGGACATTCAGCACCGCTACTGTGCCAGGTAAGTCCACCACGGGCTCACCATAGCCCGTGCTACTGGCCTCACTCCTTGTGCCAGGTAAGTCCACTACGGGCTCACCATAGTCCGTGCTACTTGGAACTTGTTCCGAGTAGCTGAATCTATGACAACAACAACATAGCCTGGCGCTTGGGTTGCCCTGGTGACGCTGTAAATCACACTGCCAGTAGTGAAAAGTGTTCGCAGCTTCCACAGGCTGGCTAATTGGTCGTGGTTAGTCTTGGAGTCCACGGGTAGAGTGCGCCAAGTCCTGACTATATTCAAGGTTGTCTTCTGACCTGGCTCTAATTCAAAACCTGGAAACAAGGTTATTTAGCTCCCTGTCAGGTCATACCAGCGTCGTCTCGCCGAATACAGTGTATTAGTAAGATTTTAAATCTCCTTAATATTGACTTTTTCTGTGCATTGGCCTCGATAGGTTAGGTGGGTTGCTTGGGATGGTACGTTTCTGGTCCTACAGTTGCATTTTTTTACGGAGTGGCGGATCAAGAGAACTGTCTGTGTAAAGATATGTCAGAGGAGGTATATAGGTCCCAAGGTTATATTTACCTGTTATTCAAGGTTATATTTATCTAGGGTACTCCCCATAGTACCACTCTGGGAAGTGGTACTCCTGTAATAAACGTATTACCGAACATTCTGAGAGATAAACATACACATTTCCTATTACTCTAAGTGTCTCTAGTTGCTGTTCTACATTCTCTGGGCTTACAGCAATGTTAGCCAACCTCTCATCTGGGTTGGACCTTCCCTTACCCTTATTCCCACAGGAAATTGTCTGGGGGTTAACCTTGATTAAGGAAATGTATGTTTATCTCTCAGAATGTTCGGTAATACGTTTATTGCTTGTGATGTGTGTCTATGTATGTATTAACACGATGTACTGAACGGGGTGAGAATAGCTTGAGCTACCTCATCCCTTTGTGTGTATTTTACCTCAATAAACTTATTACAATTTCAACCTTGATTACCGCCTGGAGATGCCACAGTGTGTGTGAGAGGGTAGGAAGACCTGGGGCCAGATTCACGAAATAGTTACGCAAGTATTTACGAACTTGTACATCTTTCCTCAATCTTTGACGGCTTTGGTTACATTTGTTAAACAGTTTACAAGCATGAAAACTTCCCAATCGACTGTTGTTATTGTTATAAACAGCCTCCTGGTGCTTCGGAGCACCACTCCTGTGCCAGGTAAGTCCACTACGGTCTCACCATAGCCCGTGCTATTTGCCCCGCTCCTGTGCCAGGTAAGTTACGGGCTCACCATAGCCCGTGCTACTTGGAACTTGTTCCATGTAGCTGAATTTATAACAACAACATGCTTCGGAGCTCATTAACTGTTTAGTAATTGTAAACAAAGCCGCAAAAGATTGAAAAAAGATGGACAGGTTCGTAAGTGTTTGCGTAGGTGTTTCGTGAATGTGGTAGACGTGAAGGTGTTGGGTAGAGGAGGCTGTGAGAGTAATGGTAATGTGTTGTGTTGCAGGGCGTGGTGTACCACTACCTGGGCCGGGAGAGACTGGCGGAGAAGACGCTCATGGACGCCATCAGGGTCGACCCTCACGACCACCACTCTTGGTAACTTTTCTTCTCTTGTGTCAGGCGGGCGGGAGCAGGCAAGCACAGGGAGTGAAGGTTTATGTGCAGTGAACACATCCACAAGGGCCGTGACGAGGATTCGAACCTGCGTCCGGGAGCATCCCAGACACTGCCTTAATCGACTGAGCTACGACAGAGCTCAGAGCTTTGTTCATTTGATGCATCACGTTAGTGTGATCTGTGTGTGTGTGTTTATGGGCAGTGTTTGGGAGAGGGGGGGAGGAACTGAATTGAACTTTCAGCGGAAAGGGCCAAGCCATTACGATTAGGAAGGGGGTCAGGATAAGGATTTGGGATGGGACAGGGGGGAAGGTGCCCAACCACTTGGACATGGAAGGGTGAAACGGAAAGGGAGTATATGGAATATTTTATAGAGAATGAGGGGGAGAGGCGGGAAATGGGTTGCAGTATAAACTAGGCCTCCTACAGGAGGCTCACTGCAGGAGACAATGTGGTGGTGGTGGCGGGCGTGTTGCTATTATTGGAGGTGGTGACGTCGGGAGGGAGGAGAGGCTCACCCGGTCCACCTAGGTATGGCCAGCAACAGGTCTCATGACTACATCATGAGGTGGAACGGCCCAGGGGCACGCTCTCTCTCACCGTGCCTGGTCACGCTGGCTCCCTGCCCCTCACCTGGGTATTGTCACGGTGGGGGGCCGAGGCCAGGCTCTGGGGGTATGGCCAAATGATACACTACACGAACAAATCAGGAGCTGCCTCGTATGGGCCAATAGGCCTTCTGCAGTTACCGTTGTTCTTATGTTCTTAAATCCACAAGGGCCGTGACGAGGATTCGAACCTGCGTCCGGGAGCATCCCAGACACTGCCTTAATCGACTGAGCTACACTACACGGTTCGACAAAAATAATTTTCTGACTACCAAAACGATACATTACCTTAGGTTAGGATGTATTAGTTCAGGCTGTGCTAGGTTAGGTTAAGTTAGGGAGACGCCTCGTATATATATATATATATATATATATATATATATATATATATATATATATATCCACTACACACCAGTTCAATTTAATGCCTCACATTAATATATCAACACGAAACGATATAAATTTGAGAAGTGTAGACTTTTGAAAGAGGTGGGTAAATACTGGTTTGGGTACACATTTATGGAACACATTGCCGGGTAACTTGACACACAGGAAGGATAGTATGTAGCATGCCCAGGTTACACACATATATAATATATATATATATATATATATATATATATATATATATATATATATATATATATATATATATATATATATAGAGAGAGAGAGAGAGAGAGAGAGGAGGGCCGTGACGAGGATTCGAACCTACGTCTGAGAGCATCCCAGACGCTGCCTTTATCGACTGAGCTACGACATGGTAAAAAGAATATCAACCAGAAGTTCTAATGACCTTACTGGACCCTGCAGCCTCAAGGGACCCCTACTCCCTTGTTCTTGTTACTCGCCCGTCTTCCCTTCCTCTGTTGTTATAGATTCAGCTACTCGGAAGTTCCAAGTAGCACGGGCTATGGTGAGCCCTTAACTTACTTGGCACAGGAGCGGGGCAAGTAGCACGGGCTATGGTGAGACCGTAGTGGACTTACCTGGCACAGGAGCGGTGCTGTGTGTCTCCGATGTCCCTTACTCGGCCGGCTGCTGTCTTTATCCTGGCGTCTTGCCCCTTGCACCTATACTCCTTCCCTTTGCTCTTATTATCTGAGAGCTTCCCTGACCCATAGCTCATTGTAAGCCTTTCCCTTCACCAGCCCAACCGTTTTCATCTTGTTTGATGAGTAGAGTGATGAACTCGTCAGACTTCGATGGCGAGTGTTGAAAGTGGATTGGCACCTTCACCTGACTCTGTCCCTCTATTCCCTGCCAGGGGCCAGATTCACGAAAGCACTTACGAACGTGTACATCTTTCCTCAATCTCTGACGGCTTTGGTTACATTTATTAAACAGTTCACAAGCATGAAAACTTCCCATTCAACTGTTGTTGTTATTATAAACAGCCTCCTGGTGCTCCGGAGCTCATTAACTGTTTAATAATTGTAAACAAAGCCGCCAAAGATTGAGAAAAGATGTACAGGTTCGTAAGTGCTTTCGTGAATCTGGCCCCTGAGTCCTTTCTCACATGTCTTTCAAGTGCTATTTACTCATAGTGGTTTAGCACTTTCTCCTGATCATTAGCCGAAGCTGCACAAAGAAATCACAGTAACGTGATGTGTGAATGTCAGTAGGAGCCATGAGGAGGATTCGAACCTTCACACCGGGGTACTCCCAAGACCACTTAACCACGACATGCTCAGAAGCCATGAAACCCGGGATTAAATTTTAATTTAAATGTTTAAATTTTGCCCCGAGGGGCGAGTTTATTGGGCAGCGTCACTCATCCTGTGAGTGAACACATCGTCATAGTGACAGTATTGGGCAACGCCACTCGTCCTGTGAGTGGACACACCGCCATAGTGACAGTATTGAGCAGCGCCGCTCATCTTGTGAGTGGACACACCGCCATAGCAGCATGTACAACACTCCCAAATAGGAAGAAAACCCGCTGGGTTGTTCATCCTGTCACTTGTACCTAGACACAGATTGGCCAGCATCCTGCAGGCAGCTGCTGGCGGCTTTCATCTTGCCTTTGTTTCCCCGGCTCCTTCACAGCCTCAATTATCTTATCCTCGTCTCTGTGATATCATCTCTATTTTCTTGGAGTTTGTTAATGACATTTTCTCCTCTTTCATACGGGTCTCTTAGTGGGATTATAGAGCGCCAGGTAGCCGTGTTGATCTCTCCGGAGCGTCCTCCATCACCGGGGTAACACACAGCCCTCATTATAACCTCAGTTTTATGCCTCATATTGTAGCTGTGTCTGGGTACAAGTGACAGGATGAACAACCCAGCGGGTTTTCTTCCTATTGGGGAGTGTTGTACATGCTGCTATGACGGTGTGTCCACTCACAGGACGAGTGACGCTGCTCAATACTGTCACTATGGCGGTGTGTCCACTCACAGGACGAGTGACGCTGCTCAATACTGTCACTATGGCGGTGTGTCCACTCACAGGACGAGTGACGCTGCTCAATACTGTCACTATGGCGGTGTGTCCACTCACAGGACGAGTGACGCTGCTCAATACTGTCACTATGGCGGTGTGTCCACTCACAGGATGAGTGACGCTGCTCAATACTGTCACTATGGCGGTGTGTCCACTCACAGGACGAGTGACGCTGCTCAATACTGTCACTATGGCGGTGTGTCCACTCACAGGACGAGTGACGCTGCTCAATACTGTCACTATGGCGGTGTGTCCACTCACAGGACGAGTGACGCTGCCCAATACTGTCACTATGGTGGTGTGTCCACTCACAGGACGAGTGACGCTGCCCAATACTGTCACTATGGTGGTGTGTCCACTCACAGGACGAGTGACGCTGCTCAATACTGTCACTATGGCGGTGTGTCCACTCACAGGATGAGTGGCGCTGCCCAATACTGTCACTATGGCGGTGTGTCCACTCACAGGACGAGTGACGCTGCTCAATACTGTCACTATGGCGGTGTGTCCACTCACAGGACGAGTGACGCTGCCCAATACTGTCACTATGGCGGTGTGTCCACTCACAGGACGAGTGACGCTGCCCAATACTGTCACTATGGCGGTGTGTCCACTCACAGGACGAGTGACGCTGCCCAATACTGTCACTATGGCGGTGTGTCCACTCACAGGATGAGTGGCGCTGCCCAATACTGTCACTATGGCGGTGTGTCCACTCACAGGATGAGCGGCGCTGCCCAATACTGTCACTATGGCGGTGTGTCCACTCACAGGACGAGTGACGCTGCTCAATACTGTCACTATGGCGGTGTGTCCACTCACAGGACGAGTGACGCTGCCCAATACTGTCACTATGGCGGTGTGTCCACTCACAGGACGAGTGACGCTGCCCAATACTGTCACTATGGTGGTGTGTCCACTCACAGGATGAGTGCCGCTGCCCAATACTGTCACTATGGCGGTGTGTCCACTCACAGGATGAGTGCCGCTGCCCAATACTGTCACTATGGCGGTGTGTCCACTCACAGGATGAGTGGCGCTGCCCAATACTGTCACTATGGCGGTGTGTCCACTGACAGGATGAGTGCCGCTGCCCAATACTGTCACTATGGCGGTGTGTCCACTGACAGGATGAGTGCCGCTGCCCAATACTGTCACTATGGCGGTGTGTCCACTCACAGGATGAGTGACGCTGCCCAATAAACTCGCCCCTCGGGGCAAAAATTAAAAATATATATATATTAAATTGTAGCTCTTTCTGTCTTTACTCATCACCTGTTGCTTGTATTGTTCTTTTGAAATTTAGCAATTTAGTTACATAGTTGACCATATACATCAATACTATTTTACAGTACACAAATGTGCCGGGACACACAAGGAAGCCTAGACACAGTTGGTTTAGCTAAGTTACACCCTTGATATGCCAGGGGGGTAGAAATAGCCTAAGCTACTCTATCCCTTTGAGATGTATTTCTTGCTTATCTCAATAAACATACTTGAACTTGAATGATATGCCAGCACGGGCGGGGTGTGTGTAAACATACATAGGCCCGCGGCCCCCATGGGGTCTCCAGGATCCCCTGGGGGGACTTGAGACGCTTCTAGTGAGTTTAAGTAGTTTATTCTTGCCTTGTGGGAGAGAGAGGTGTTCCAGTGTGACGTAGGGGGTCCAAGAGCTGGAGCACAACACTGTGTGATGCTCAGTTGTTTACATGTGTAGTGAGCTAGTTGTATATAATGTTGAGCTGCGTGTTGTGCGTCCCATAATGGCGAGTTTGTTGTTTATTCTCTCTCACATGTGGCTATTCATTTGTGGAGTGCTCACTCCCTTGTGTTTATTTTCTGTCTTCCGTCGGGGGAGGTTGTAAAGTGGAAGGTGGAGGTTGTGGAGTGTGGTGGTGGTGGTGGTTGTGGAGTGTGGTGGTGGT